CTCTCCAGCAAAAAATAATGGAGCACTTTGAGTTCATGGTCCTGGTAGACCGTCGGTGCTGCATCACTGCTTTTTTCCTCCTTGGTTCATAGAATCACAGAGTCACTAAGGTTGGAAAAGACCTCCAAGATCCCCAAGCCCAATCTCAACCCACTGCCACCGTGCCAACTGACCGTGACCCCAAGTGCCACAACTCCAGGTTTCTTGAATACGTCCAGGAACAAGGACTGCTTTTCTAAAAAAGAAAGTATTCCTAACATCCAGCGTGCAGTGGATGGATATTCACATTCCAGATTAAGTGTAACCTCAAAATGTAATCCATCCTTACTCCAGATAAAAAAAACCTGCCGCTAATCAGAAATAACAGAGGTATGAAAGTGGCCCTGGACACTTTCTACCCCTAGACAGCAGACTTGAGGTGCAGATAGATTTTTGGCTAAATTGAAACCAAGCCTCTCTGAAAGCAAACTTAGATGCCCATCCATCTCTGGGTGTGCACAGCTTTTGTTTTCCATCACGCCGAACACAACTTCGTGCATAGAGAAGGCCCAGGAGAATTCTGGTGGAGCTATTAGGAGGGGAAGTGATTTTTTTGTAGACTGATTAAAATTCGTTGGGCTTTCTGTTTGTTTGTTTTTAAACACCTATTTAGCTTTTAATTAACATTTAAGAGAAAGGAAGCTGGTTAAATATTCAATACCTCCTCCCTTTCAATTAAGGTATAACAGTACACAGCACTTGATGAGGCCTCTGGGAAGTATGGAAAAGCAGAAGAGCAGACTCCTGATTATCATTTTGAGGGGGACTGGGAAGGTGAAACTCATCCGATTGTTGTTATTATTGCCATTAACAATAATAATGTCGAGGCCCTTTTATGAGCAGCAGAAAGCAGTTTAGGAATGAGGCTGATTCTTTAAAACCCAAACGCTGGGGTTTGCATTTAAACACCTTCACTTTTCCCATCCTGTTCTTTACTTCTTTGGGAAGCGAGAATGGTTGATATTTACAGTTTAACAAGTACACTTCCTAAACTTAAATTCTTTCTTTTTGCTTGTGTGTTCTCATTTATTTCAGACTTACCTAACAAAATACTTATTTTATTAACAATCCTGCTTAAGACTGCACTATATTAAACTAAAAAAAAAAGCATTTTACATTACGGGACTACTTAAAAGCACTGCTTCAAGAGTGATGTATCGCTTTCTTTTTGTTTCTTTTGCCTCTTTTAATTCGAGAGCCAGCTCACCTGCAGAAAATGCATTGTCCATATCAAATATCATACAATAATCATTTTTTTTAATAACTGTGTTATGTAAACAGACTTAAATGGCACTGATGGCAGCAGGTATCAGTTGTGTAAATAAACACCTGAACGAGTTTATTTTTACATTAAAGAAAAAAACAAGAAGAGAGCAGATGCTGAAGGGCACAGCTATGGGATATGTTCCATGTATTAACATTTCAAGTTTTATGGGACATACGAGCGCATTGGTTTTTAAAAACAGAAATAAATGCCTTGCAAAAATATTTCTGATTGCATAGGAAACAAGACTTTCCAATTCGACTTCACCATCAGCTGACTGCAGTGACCTGCCATCGATGCTCTGTGACTGTGAGCTTTTGAGCAGCTGCTGTCTTACCTGTTGTGTTCAGTGCTGGAGCTTTTCACTTTCCCCCAACCCAAGATGCTTTCTCCATGACTCTTTCAAATACGTAAATGAATGAGCAGATTTACATATGTCTTCCTTGTGGTTATTCATCAGTAGTTAATGATGTGCACTTAGCAGCTGGACAAAAACCAAGAATTAGTCCAATTAGCTCAATAACTGCCTCCTTACCAAATATTTCTTAATTATTGAGAGTCATTTTATACTTCAACTTTAAGTAATAGAAAATCTTCTATTAATTTCAGTGAGAATGGTATTTTGTCATTTAAAAACCTGTTTCCTGGCTTCTTTCAAAACCTTGTTCATAGAAACTACAGAAAAAAAAAACCCAAACACATTTTCAGAGGACAATCAAAATAGACCCTTACGCCTCAGAAGCCTGTACCAGGAAAAGCATCTTTGGTCTCAGCTAGGGTTGTGTTTATAAGTGACATCTGGATGTTGTAGAGAAGACTTAATCGTTTTTTCTTCTTTAATTTTATCTTTTTTCCTCCATGTTTTCTGAAGCAGTTGCACGATAAAGACAATTCTGATGAAAAGTGATACTGGTAAATCAATAACTTTTTTCCTTTCTTTTCTTAAGGTGAACACACACAAGAAACCAATTCACCTCATTCGCTGAAGAAGGATGTAGAAAACATGGGGAAAGGTAAAATAAATCAGGGTCTCTTCTGTTATAAAACTGCTATTTGTTTTAATAGAATATGAGGATAATAAGGGGCATTTTTGTTCTGCACCATATTTTAAGCTTGTCAAGTAACATATGAATAATATATGGACCTTTGGGTGGATATAATTGAGATTAATGCATATATATCAATCAATACATGACACTGTAATATAATACTTTAAAATAATATATTACATTGATTTATATTCATGGCTTTCTGCACAAAATCTATCGTAGGTCTATGCAACACTTTTTTTTTTTTTTTTTCTTCTTTAATAACTGCTAAAATATTTTGTCTTATCGTAATGAATTGCTCAGTAACTGTTCTCTCAAGAATTATTTCCACAGATTAGTAACACCACTTTTCTCCTCTTTCCTTTTCTTTTTCTTAGAGGAACTCCAGAAGGTTTTGTTTGAACAAATTGACTTACGGAGGAGGCTGGAGCAGGAGTTCCAGGTGTTGAAAGGAAATGCATCTTTCCCAGTATTCAGTAAGAACACATATCTGTGATTTTGGTTTTTTTGGTTTTTTTTTTTTTTTTTTTTTTGAGAGTTGTTTGTTGTTGGAAAACAGGAGAAGCACGTCCTCAGTTGTATTACCAGGATTTTCAGCTGAGGTCGATGGCACTTACGCTGTTTGGGCTTTTCAGGCTGCCAACATCAGTCTTTTGTGGGAAAAATCTAGGTGTCCCTTTTGGTGTGCATTCTAAAATTGAAACGGACAATCAGAAAGGTTTTCATGAAGTTATCAGGAAGTTGAGCTGCAGGCACAAGGAAACAGTAAAGGACATAACGATGGGGAAAGTGTGCCTTCATTCATGCAGAAGTTGGCTTTTTGCTAGCTTCTCTTACCTCCTGCATGATGAAAATATCTGACCAGCCCTCAGCTTGGTTTCCTGGAGCTTCCTGAAGAGTTCAGAAGCTCTCTGTTCTGTTAGAAGTCCGACTTGCTTCCTAAAAACTCCACCATTGCAAGCACCCCAATTCAACAAACACCTCTGCTGCAAGCTGAGGAATGTTTGGATCACAAGAAGAGGTGGGAGTGCAGACTGTGTTTTCTTGTCATTTAAAGAAAATGCATTTTTCTGCTTTCTGTAAATAAGGTAAATTCAGAGAAGTGCAAGGCAGGTCTGTGGAAATGACTCCATCTTTACCTCAAATCTCGAAAGCTTCATAAACAAAGGAGAGCCTGAAGTGGTATAGATATTAATGAAAGGAGATAACCTCATCCTTCAGTATAAATTCAGTCATTACGTGGGTTTGAGAGTGAGGTAATTTTCAAATAATTTGTATAGATCAAAATGCTTGATGTGTGGTATTGGTAAAACGGCATCTTGGAGTTTTGCCATTCGGGTCACTCATTTATCCTTTTGTTCTTCTACAGTAAAATTAATGCTCTGTCATTGCCGTGTAAATAAACAGTGCAATTAAACCGCATGAAATACAATTCAAATAAAAGAAAAGAACACATTCGGCTGACCAAGGAAGTGGCGACTGCATATGCTGACTTGAAAAATATGTGGTTTCAACATACCACAAAGCAGTGGTCAATTTTCTTCAGGATTAAAATAGAAAACAGATAATGTGCTATAAACAATACGTGTAAGTGACCGTAAAACCTATCTACAGATTTAGATTTACCAAAAAAACCCTCCTCCACATACAATAAAACAAGAAAATGGGTCTTTGTCAAGCAAGTAAGTGTAAAATCTGAGATAAGTGCGGTTTGTCCTCCAGAACAGCGTGTGGTGCAATGAAAGAGATGGGGCCGCTGCCTCAGGTCAGGTGTTAGAAGCTATTTGTCTTGCAGGTTTCCCTAGTAAAGTTTCTAACTGCTTGTGACTGTGCTAGAGAGAAAAATCATAGAAAACCCAATTAAAGGAGAGAAACCTGAAAAGCGACTAAGGAAGGTACGGTTAAAATCGTGCTGATGGTCTTCTCGTGGCTTGGAGACACGTGGGTCTGCACGAGGGAGAGCAGAGCAGGTTTGCATCCCAGTCCTGAGCAGCCATAGGTCTGAACTTCTGTCCGTCCCGAAGATGCTGAAGGCAGAATCCTGCACCGGTTTTACCTCTGGTGCGGACCGGCTCACCTTTTGTCCGGCAGCATTTAACGACGTGGCAGTAAAACAGTAGAAACGTAGCCTGGGCAGTTAAAGTATTTAAGTTTGTGTTAAGAAAACTCTTTAAATATTCATCTCTTTTCTCCTGGGCATTGCTCACGGCTAAAAAAGCTAAAAAAAAAAAAAAAAAAAAGCGTTATCCTCACCATTAACCCCGTTTGCACAGCGAGTTTGCAGCGCAGGACTGAGCAGGATTTCTGAGCTGTCTGTACCGAGCCTGTGAAGAGATGTTCAGGGAGGAGAGGAGATGAGGGACATTTCTTTGCGTAGCCTGCTCCTATTGAAATGAAACCGGAAGAGGACCTACAGAGTAGCTAGCACGGGACAAGAGACCATCACCTTTTGTCCCACATGGCTATTTTGGTAAGCAGAGGAGAAACTGCAAACTGGCTTGTATTCTTTTTCTTTTCAAGTTGGAGACGAAAAAACAGGCTGATAAAATGAAACCTGGAGGAATTCCTTAAGATGTCATTGCATTCTTTTGAGCGCAGCCATGCTGGACTCCTGCTGGTTTTAGCTAGACAAATTTTCTCTCCATTTGTTTTCCTGATATTTTCTCACTATCCTGCACTGCCTCCATGCCTCCTAAGCAACATCCTTTGCTTTTCATTTAGACGAGGCCAAATTACTGTGTGAAAGACAACAGAGCTCTGCCCCCTTCTAGTTTCTTCCATTTCTTCTCTGTGCCCACACCTGATGGTGACATATCTCCTTTCCCCCAAGGCAAGGCAGCTCCTGCCACTCCACTGTGATGTGCTCTGTCTTCTTGCCTCTGCTTCTGGGTTTGAGAATGTAGTGAGCTTGTGGGGCTCTGCAGGGAATGAGTGTTTTCCCAGGCCCACAGCAGCACACGGAGCATTGATAGGAGCCACATTTCTCATCTGGGATCAAATCTTTGCATTGCAATTTTGGTATTTTTGTGACTCCCATTACTGCCCTATCAAAGTGTCCCACAGTCATTTAATCTATTAATCCTCCCTATGCTCCAGGCATATGAGGCAGTGCTATTATTCCTGATTTACTGGTGAAGAAACGAAGCTGGGGAGACATATGCACAGAGCTTGGAGAGCAGACACTGAACTGAGGCTCCATGAGTTCTGGAGCCACGGCCCAACAGCCAACATGACTGCTGAAGTCTTTTAATTGCAAATAAGCCATTCTGGCTGCTTTGCCCTTTTAGTACTCCTCAGCAAGACCCTACCAGAGCTGAAATGTTGTGCCACAACCCAGCTGACTGGGAAGGTGTGGTCTGTCTTTCAATGACTTCTTCCTATCTGAATTCCACGTCACTCTTTAAGGAATTTGAGCTGCTTTCAAAGTTGTCAGCACAATGTTGTAAACTACAAATCAAATCCTGCATCCTTGAACACTTTCTGTTCTCACATCCTGGACATCCCTATTGACGTCAGCAGATTTATACCAAAGCAAAGCAGCTTTTGCTGTTATCTCCAGTTCTTGTACGAGTTTGACTGATGACTGCAGTCTGGTCCATTGAGAACATCACTGTGGGTATGAAAGCTAGCAAGAGAAACACAGGAGCCTACATCTTCAAGTGGGGAGGACAGAGCTGGATCTGTTTTTTCCAGGCAAATCTTTTTTTTTCTCATCAGCAGTACCTCCTATCAGATAAGTTTTTGGTAGGTATATCATACAAAAAGGCTTTGGTGTGCTTCAGTTGGGTTTGGTTTCATTTGATCTATAGGAATTCTGCTATGGTCTCTATTTTAATTACTGCATTTACTTGTCTTTTTTTTTTTTCTTTCCCTCTTAATAGATAATTTTCAAGATCAGATGAAACGAGAGCTGGCATACAGAGAAGAAATGGTGCAGCAGCTACAAATTGTGAGTCTATGTCTTTGACTAAAAATGCTATGAACTATCACTTTGATTTTTTAAGTACACCCTCAAGTTTTTCCCCTGGAAGCCATGTAGATGTAATATTACAGAGCTCACGTTCTCTTATGCTCAGGAACACGTCAGCTTGCAGTTCTTAACTGGTTTAGAGCCTAATTACCTGGAGATTTACCTTCATACCTTAACCAGATGGGTCTTCATCTTTCAACTCAATGGAATGTGCTGACTGAACACTGAGACTACAGCTTTCCTGAGTCAGGCTTGCCAAAAATCTCCACGTCTGAATCAGCCTTCTGCTTGAGAAGCTCACTTTTCCTCTTGCTGAAAATGGGAGGGATTGTTGTCTTCTGGTGCTGTCATTTTCTACTTGATGGGTTAGGACATAAAAATAAAGCTGAAGGCCACAATTGTCAAACATGTGTGCTGTGCTCTGAGGCATTTAGAGTGGCCTTATTTTTAGAGCTCTGAGCTCCCTGTTCCTGCTGACTTCAGAGATTTCAATGAGAGATGGAGGGTGTTGGAAGGAGGTTGTTTCATGGGGAAAATCGACTCCAGGCCATTTTGGAGGGTTTTTTGCCGGTCTCCATTCTTTAACATGTACAGCTGTTACTGCGTTCCCCCTCATCTCCCAGGATCTGGCAGAAAGTTTCATTGGAACCCCATTGGCCTTCTTGGCTCATGCCATGGGTAAACCAAATCTTTTGGAGCAGGACACGTTAAAAAGCAGGATTTATTTTGATATATTTTGTCTGTTGTTTTTAACAGGGATAGGCTGTTTTGGTTTGTATGTTCCTGGAACACTGTAGCATTGCTTTCACAAAGTTGCCCACATGCAATTTTCTTGTCATTGTGGTGCAGAGAGAGAAGATGAAACTTTTAAAGCATGCTCGAATCACAATTTTACTTTCAGCTTCACAGATATGTAGGGTTAAACACAAAGGTTAGTGACTTAGCTAGCCACAGAATTTGGCTCAGTCATTTTTATTTTTAAGATTATATAAACGAGTTGGTTTGTTGTTTGTTTTGTTGTTGGTGGTGGTGTTTTCTTTTGTTTAGTTTTGCTTTTCTCACCATTGTGTGCATATACAACTTACACTAGCTCTTCCTGAACATTTCAACATGACCACGAAGGCATCTGTTTGTTTAAAAGCACTTCTGATGTTGTGAAACTGCAATGCAGAGCGCGATGATAAATTGCCACCCCAACAAACACGTGCTGGGGAGTCGCGCTGTCGGAAGGGAGGCGATGGCTCAGACTCCAAGTGCCCTCTGCTGTCACTCCGCAGCCACTGCACTCACAGCAACGAGGACGTGGCACAGGTTTAGCATTCCTCATTGAGAGCCTCACTGTTTAATCGATGAGTTGTAATTTTAATGCTTTGTCCACTCCGGACTTTGAAAAATTATTTTATGGCTTCCTGAAAGTCAGGAGCAAGGTTCAGGTCTTTGAGAAAGTGTTCTGTTACAACATCTGTAATGGATATTGACCTCTTTGGACACAACCTGGCTTGGTAGGTGGATGAAGTGTTGGACTCTGTGTGGCCATTGGCAATTTCTGTTAATAAGGAGTTGGTCCGAAAGCCTCGAGCAGCTGCCAGGAAGCACTGCAACCATATGCCAAGCTTTCAGCCAAGGGCCAAGAAGCGATCAATAAATCATCATATTTAACAGGAAAATTGATCTTAAATCACTGAGTGTGTTTTTCTCTTCCTCCTGCCTCCAAGCATCCTCTACCCAAACGGCTGAGTACGTGCAGGTCCCACTTAGCTTCAGGCATGGGTTGTGATCAACCCTACTATTTTTCCATGGGGATAAAGGCAGTAGGTCTTTGAGACGTGTTAGAAAAGTGAGTTGTTCTGACAGCCTTTTGTCTTTTCATCTGGTTCAGATGGCTTTTGTATTCACTACAGAGTCTTGGCTTCCACCCTACTGGCCAACTGTGGGGTGACAATAACGCTCAGTCCTCAGAATTGGATCCAGCTAGAACTCCTCTGATGTTCGATAGCCTCTAGCCTCAGTATTACTTTCAGCCACCTCTGTTCTTTGAAGGCAGACAAGAAAATAAATCAGGAACTATCTGCCTGCAAAATTGATTTCTCTTCATCATCTTCTATCCTGATCTTTAAAGGTGTACAAGTCTTTAAAAGAAGGAAAAATCCATCCTGGGTGTGGCATTCTCAGGTCTTTGGAGGTATGAGATCATGTTCCTTGGAGTCCTACTGTAATTAAGAAAAGCTCTAATAGGTTCAGTTCCTATTTCATGCTGTACATGGAAGGTTGAGGCTTCGTACAATGAATGTATTCATGATACATGCAGGGAATACTCACACTGTTATGTAGGTTTGCAGAGATGTTGCTCACTGCATGCTTGTCACTCCGTAAGTGAGAAGGGAAATGGGAAATAGTGGCGCTTTAAAATATTGATTTGATTTCGGTGGAATCATCTGTAGTTAAATTAGGATGGAAATTAGTTCTACATGCATAATCCCAGGCAGAGTTCAGTTCCCAGGAAGCCAAAGGGGATGTGCTCCAGGGATCTTATCAAAGATAAGGAATCTTATCTTGCCCTTTTAAGTATTGATCCTATCTTCATCCGAACACTCGCTCCGGATGCACAAAAAGGGACAGCAGCGTCACAAACAGCCCTAAACATGTCCTATTGCAGCACTGGATCCACAAAATGTTCGTGCAACTTGAAAAGCAGATGACATTGCACGTGATTTAACTTGTGAAAAAGTGTCCCTGCTGAATACCACCCCTTCCACTCTCATTTGTTACCGGGAGCATGCACAAAACAACACACACTGAAAAGACACCGACGTGCCAAATATAGCAGAAAAAAAACAGATTGAGAACAGTCCCTTTCTGACAGAATGTACCTCGTCGTGTTATCTAGGTCAGCACAGCTTGGGAGATGTCCTATATAACTGACGGCCATGCAGAGCAATGTTGGGAGTGAGAAGGAGGTAGAAACATCACAGCCTCAGCTGAAACGTGTTTATTCAGCCACTTGTTGGTGGCTCCCTTTGCTCCCAGATTTGGACTGATCCTGTTAGCTCATAAGTCATGAAAACGAATTCATGATTTCAACACATTTGACATTATTTCTGAATACATCACAGAGTTCCTAGAAGCAGAAGCGGGTCACCTTGGTCTGCAGCAGCACCGGGAGTGGAGGTGCATAAATGTTGTGATCCCTATGTGATTCTTTCCAAAAGACAGCTATTCACTGTTGAGGAATAGTGAACATGTAGCCATTTGGATTCCCACCTACAGGGAAATCTCAGAGCAATTTAGTTTTGTTGCATTTTAAAGAGCTGTCCCATACTGCATTCCCAGCAGCCTACGAACACATCATCCCACTTTGTTCCTAAATATAACTACGTTCCCTAATATACCTATGTTCTCTGTTTTGCTTTAATTATTTGTTCCACTTCAGTGGCTTTCATCGGGTTTGTGCAAGGCAGAGATAGTTATTAAGAACTTCCTAATTATGGGGATATAAATACATGCAGACTGATACTCCCAACCTGCTGTATTTTGGCTGCGCAGAGATTCCAGCCTGCATATGTTGTTAGCCAAATCTTGGCTTAAAACAGTGGCTTTGTTTCTGTGTCGTTGCAGATTCCCTATGCAGCAAGCTTGATCAGGAAAGAAAAGCTGGGTGCACACCTCAGCAAAAGCTAAAGGTAAGCTTGTGAAAGAAGGGGTGGGGTAGTATTCTGGCCGTCAGATTTCTCTCTGCAGCCGTTACAAGAATTTAGAGAATTGTTTTGCTGTGTGACATTGATCCATTCCCATCCTGCCCACTGACCATGTGCCCAGCTGCCACATCTCCACGGTTCCTGAACACTTCCAGAGACAGGGACTCCACCGTCACCCTGGGCAGACTGTGCCAGGGCCTGACCATTCTTTGGAGAAGAAATTGTTCCTCATATCCGACCTGGACCTCTCCTGATGCAACTTGAGGCCATTACCTCTTGTCCTAAATCATCACCCAAATTGTGAGGTTTCACTGGGGTGGGACATAGTGTTGAGAATTGACCACTGGTTGAACACAGGCTAATGGCTTGAACAAGAGCTGCTCTCTGACACTATGAAGTGGCTTCAAGGAAACATACCTTCAGCAAAAATGGGAAACTGCCCTGACATTCAATTCCAGGTGCTAAAGATTAAACACTTAAATTAACATTTACTCAGAGAGCAATGAGGCCCTGGCATTGCTGCCCAGAGAAATGTGGGTGCTTCACCATGAGAAGAACCCAAGGCTGGGTCGATTGGATGGGGCCCTGGGCAGCTTGAGCTGAGAAGAGCAGCATCAGCTGAACAGCACCATTTGTTCTCACCATTGCATTTCCAGCAGCCAGTAATCCCTGTAGGAAGGTCCCAGCATCACAACTTCAAGAGTTTCCTGTTTGTTTGTTGAGTGTGAAGGATGGATGTATTTCTTGTGCTGGTTTTGTTGCCAGTGATGCACCATCCCTGCAGACAACAGGGATTTCTTTGAGTAGGCCCTGGAAGATTAGTTGTTATTTAACTGCTAAGCTAAACCAGTAAAGCAGAGAATCACAACTCCATTGCTCAGAAGCAACTTCAGATTCTCAATGCGCCAAGCAGGAAAGGGTTGTCTTAGCAAGAAATGTGCATGCACATCCATACCCAGGCAATGCACCAAGGGAGTGAGGAGCCTGTGCACTGCAGAGCATCCGCTCAGTTAATGCCCTGTGTTTTCCAGAAATCCTGTACTGCTCTTGTTGGACCTGCTGTGCCAAATCAGGTCTTGCTGTATTTAGTCATATTGCAGTTGGTTACTCCTCATTTGCAATGGAATATTTCAATGGGACTCTGAATTTTAACTAGCTAGTCTCAGAGGAGGCTTATCACAGAATCAGGGAATTGTAGAATCAAGAAGGTTGGAAAAGACTTCCAAGATTCCCAAGTCCAACAAACCCCCACCATTCTCACATGTCCCCAAGTGCCACATCCCCACAGTTCTTGGACACCTCCGGAGATGGGGACCCCATCACCTCCCTGGGCAGCTGTGCCACTGCATCACATTTTTTTTTGGAGAAGAAATTCTTCATAATACCCAACCTGAACCTCCTCTGATCCAACCTGAACCTCCCCTGAGCGGGTGACTTTCGCGTATCTGTTTTCTTGGGACTGTGAGTAAATGTTGTAATTCTGTGAGTAAAGAAACGTCAGATTCGGGCTTAGAGATGGTAACACTTTGTTTTCTTTTGTGAGCTTTTGTGTTTGTTTTTTTTATTCCTAGAAGCGCAGGACCTTTTGCAGCTGTTCCCTTGTAAATAATGACCCACCGTTCTGAAATCTAACTTGTATAAAGACTGATAAAATGGAAGTGCTTGGGGATATAAAGAACAAGTAAAACAAATCAGGTTCCTCCGAACTCAAGGACAAGTGACCTCAAAACATCATGGACAACCATGTAAAATAGAACGTAGCAGCCATTTATTAGTTAAAAACAAAACAAACAAACAAACAGAAAAAAAATAATAATAATAATCAAAAAATGCCTGTCCTGGATCTTTTTTGGTGGTACCAAAGTTTAAGTCTTTGTGTTTTTAGAAGGACTACTAAACCTAATAGAGGAAACGCTTTTGATGAATCACAGACATAAGCAGTGAAGAGAACCAACGATCCTTCCAACGCTACAGACACTGACGCCATCTGCCAGATCATCTTTTGCTTTTGCAGAGTGTTTTGTGGAAAGAAACACGCGGCTTTGAGACGGAGCCTCACGGGGATGGAAGGATAAAAAAGCGTGAGCCATACACAGTGCTTTTTAAAAGCAGACTGGAAACTCTCATACCCCCCCTCCTTGGTCCCTTTCTCCTCTGGTATTTTGCCTGCTGTATGAATTAAGATTGTACTCTTCTGGAAATATTTTACAATTTAATATTGAGTGTAATTAAGAATATAATCACTGTTATCAAAAAAGGTATTTAACTCTGTTGTAGTTTCTTTATCATTCATGTGGATAAAAAGTCTATAATAAAACAAAGAAAACTATGAGATCATAGCTGAGCTTCTCTGTAATTCAATGCTGTGCTTATTCCCCTGGAAAAAAGAAAAAGATGGGGAAATTTGTCCCCAAGAATAGCTGTTTAGAAGTACTTCAGCTCATAGGCCTGACAATGTCAGCTGCCAGCTGAGTCCTTGTCAATCCTGCCCACCTTCTCTATGCCAAAATGGTTTGAGGGGCAGCCACTGAGCCTCTCTGGTTGTCTTTCTTCCAACGAGTTGTTGTTGCTCCTGCAACGGAAGCAATCCCACAGCTTTCCTCTGCCTTTTTCTGACCAGCTGTATCCCTTGTGAGATGGGGAAATATCTGCAAAGCACTCAGGACACAGGATATCATATAGATCATAGTGTAGAGTGACACAGTGATGTTTTCCAATCTTTTCTGTGAAGAATGAACTCTTCTGTAGTGTCGTGGTAAAATGTCTTACCACTACAGATCAAAACTTTTGCCCAGACATAAAGCAATCCCATTGCTCAATAAGAAATTACTGCCTTAATGGCCTCAGAGTGCCAGAGCTCCTGGATGTGGTCAGGTGAGCGGAGCAGCCTGTTGTCTCCCACCATGTGTTCAACCCCAGGAGCAGACACAAAGGATTTGCAGCAGATTTATTGCTTCTTTCTACTGTTCTGTTCTGTTCTGTTCAGTAGAGCTCAGCCCATCATGTTTCCCACTGCGAGCTGTGCTTCCACAATGTTGGTTTTGCAAAAGTAACCAGCGTGCACTAACTGCATAGCTCACACAAATGAAGGATATTTAACTAATACAATTCTAATTTAATGTTCAAACTTCAACTTTGCGCTCTTACTTTGTTACTTATGCTAAGCTCCCAGACAGAAAACAGAAGCACCACTTGCCTTGTCGGTAAATAACCTGCAGATCTCCGCTGCAAATGTGAAGGTGGAAAGCTGGTGAAGCGTGAACAAAATCTCTTGAATTAAAAACTCATCCCTCACACCGATAAAGCACAAGAATGTGATCCTAGAAAACAAACACAGAGCAGCCACCGCCTAAGCAGCTCTCCTTCAACAAACATCCCATGAAACTTCTTATCGCCCACTGGCTCTTGTTTGCTTTCCTCTTGCGACAAAATCGTACATGTTAAAATGATGAGGTTCCCCACGCTGCAGTAAGCTGTTGTGCCCTGCAGACTCAACCCTCAATGTGTTGTTTGGTTTTTTTCACCAGCTGGTGTCGTAAGGAAAAGAAAGAGGATGACCTATGTAGCTGACCTGTAGGATGACCTATGTAGGATGACCTGCGTGCCTATCCTAACGCTGCTTGTTCTGAATGCAACTCTGTAGATAGTTATAGAATCATAGAATCAATATCCCGAGTTGGAGGGGATCCCTAAGGATCACTGAGCCCAGCTCCTGGCTCCACACGGCACAGCTAAAAGTCAGACCGTGTATTATGATGGTGGCCCTGATAGGTGAGCTGCAGACATCCTGGGGAGCCTGGCATGGCGAGTCAGCCCACGTCCACAGCCTTACCCATGGGAGGTGGCCATGCAGAGATGAAAGGTAAGAGCTTGCTGGTGAGCTATTTTTATGGGTGTTGGGTAGCTTAATAGAGTAGCAAATCCATACACATTCAGCTTTTGTTACATGCAGCCTGTCAGTACCTCTAAAAAATCTACACTTAACCAAATCTCAACTTCTACAGCCACTAACACGACAGGTGAGAGGTACTGCAGATCTTGGCTTTAGCCTTTCTTTTGTCCAATCCTCTGAGAATGCAAATTAAACACAAGGCAGACTGCATTTTGAGCTGTGATTTGAATTTTTGGAGTATTTGGATGAATAATAAATACGTGCAGAGAGCTCATTAGCGGCTAATTATCCCTTTTTCTTACACAGAACTGGTCTTCCCCCTCCCACACAAACCTCCAAACCATTTCAAGCTCTGCCCTTCAGACGTGCTGCTGCTTCTCCAGGACCCAACTCCCAAACCGTTTGCTTCTGTGATACTTCAGCACCAAGCAAAAGCATGGAGGTACGTGCTTTCCCTTGCTCAAAACATGGGAACAAATTTCTCCCATCCAGAACAGTAAATTTAGGTGCTTTCAAAGCATCTCCAAGACCATAGATTTCCTCCAAATGTTTTCTTCCCATAATTTTTATGTAAAACTTTAGAACCATAGAGACACCAATGTTGAAAATGACCTCAAAGGTCATTCAGTCCAACCACCCTTTCAGGCTGTTGCATCAAAAATTTTGGATAAATTTAGTAGTAGACAAAAAACAGTACCTTCTCAGCAAATCTGCATGTTTGGGGCTGTATAAAAAAGGAATTAATGGAAGCAAAGATCAGCACTGGCTCAGCACTTTTGCTCCACTGGCTTTCAAAGCAGAACGAAACTATACTCTGAAAGTACATGCATTCAGGGTGAAGTTGTATTCACAAGAAAAGATTGTGAGGAAGGGCTGTGAAGAGCTGCTTTGGTGCTGTTGATACTTGCAGGAGGAGCTGTAGTTCTTTTGTGGCTGTTTACCTGCATGCAGCAAAAAAAAAAAGCTTCGGTCTCCATTGTTCTGAAAGCCCTGCTCACCTGCCAGCCCAAAACACCAAAGTGTACAGATGGAAAAAGGAGTCTCCACCCTGCAGCACCCCACCCTCTCTGCTCACAAAGCAAAAATGCTTT